GATTAGACACAAGCTTAGAGAGTCGGGTCATGGACAGCCCTTACGCTAGGGGTTCCTTGGAGGTTTGGACTACGAGAATGAGGGGGTGCGCAACCAACACAAACCCAACGGAACTGCAGCAGTCCGAGCAGCTGTGAGACAGGGCTTGGCGGGGGGCGGGCGCTAGGGAGGCAGGCACAGCACGCATGTCTGAGGGAGACGAAGGCGCGGACGTTGCGGGAGCGGCGGGGGGCAGACGGACCCAAGCGCGAGACGCGGACGATGTCCGAGGGCTGCGCCGCGAGGCTCTGACATGCGCGAACACGGAGATCAGTGTTGGAACTCGCATTTCCGCATTAATGGGTGAAAAAAAAACTGTTCAGTTTTCAAAGGCAAAAACGCCAGCCTACGCCCTCCCCTCACACTGACACTTCTCCCCTATTCCCGTCTTTAGGTTGCGCACATCTCCCAGAGAGGCGCGCTGAGCCCTGTTACCCACGCTCTCGAAAATAGCACAAAACTAAATATGGCGGTCAATATGCGTTTCCGTTCCCACGCGTAGAGCCGTACACGGGGTGCCACTATACTGGCAATTTGAGCTACAACGATAGTTTGATACTGTGTGGGGGCTGGGGGAGGACTGTAATCTGTACGGGACCCTTTATCGTTGATGGAGTACGTGTGTGTCGTGTGTGTAGTCACACGTGTAGACAGCGTGTAGTCTGTAGAGAGAGCGTGTGTAGAGGTGTGGACCGTGAGTTGAACAAAATCCGGGGACGCGACCCACCTCGCCACAGACGGTCCCGCGCCTCGCCGCTATGACGGGGACACACCCCGCACCGTCCGCTGTGTCCCCGTCTTTGTCCGGAGTGAATACTCCAACGCGCTCGTCGGTGACGGTGTTCCCGATTTCGCCGCGCTCGGCGAACCTCGACAGCGCTTTCGGTGGCATGCAGCTCTTTGCGCCTGAAGCCTGGAGTGAAGCTCCTCTGCTGCTCACACACTCTGCACAGATGGCACAGCCCACTGTGCGGCTGCCACAGCTGTCACAGCGATGGGCTCGCCCTCACTGGCCCTCAGTCAGTTGTGCTGCGGCTTGTGTGAGCGACACTGCTCGGCGACTGCCGGCACACTGTGAGACCATGGGTGTGAGGTAAAACCACGCTACCAGCGCTTGGTCACATCAGCCCTGAGGTCAGATCCTTCTCCTCTGTTGATGGTAACACTTGTCTACTCGCTGGAGCCGAGCAGGAGGGCTTGGCGCACAACCCCTGTTCAACTCAGGGTCCACACCCCGTACACCACATCGCTACATGAAACTTGGAAAGGGCTGGAGAGCGGTGGAGGGCTCCGGGCGCACGCCGCGCAGGGATGGAGAAAACAACATTCGCCCGTAGCTAATATACGCACCCGGTCACGCATCCGACGAGACTGCGGCCTCGTGCACCTCGCCCTCTCCATGAGAACCCGTCTCCCCCTCTGTCGGCGGCCGCGGATCATACCCGGGTGGCGAGGGATACTCCGCCCCGAGCCCGGCGCCGAGGCAGGCGCGGACCTGCTCTCTCGTCGACGCGCCCGCCTCTCGCGCTCGCATCATCGCGGCCAAGGCCTGCTGGCCCTTGGCGTACTCGCCTGCGGGCGCGCCCTGCCCCGCGACAAAGCTCCGCATCCGCGCAAGCTGTTCGCGCAGCCGCTCAGCCTCGGCCGCCTCGGCCGCCTCCTCGCACGCCGCCTCGCCATCTGCCGGCGGCGTAGCACTCCGCGGCGCGATATGCGGCTCGCTGGGCAGTGCAGTCTCGACGCAGGCTCGAGACGCAGGCTCGACACAGGCGAGCGTGCGCCACGTGCACCCGACAGACAGCACACCGTCATCCGCCG